TATATATATTCCTTTATATACCGCTTACTATTTAGCTAGTAGTATATACGCGATAGTAGCTCGTACGACCTCTCTATACTATAGTAACTAGCGAGCTTACTATTATAGTGCCTCTTTAAAAGCTCTTATCTAATCGATTGTTTAGCGGGGATATAGTATCTGCCCTTAAACTTTAAGTAACCCTTATCGTCGATCGACTAATTGTTACTCTTACTAGATCGAGTCTTTTACCTACTTATAAGCTTATCGATACGTTTAGTAGTAAAGGCGTCCCTCTACTAAGTACGTAATAGCTTATCTATAAACGATTAACTATCCCTATTTGCAAGGTTATTTAGTAGTACCCTCGCTATTAAACGAGGTACGTATTATATATATCTAATAGTACTAGTAGCCGGATTAACTATAGTAGTGCTATCGCTATTACTATATATAGCGATATCGACTAGGGAGTTATTATAACCCTTCCTATCTATATCCTTAGCCCTTGCCTTAATACGTACTATTAATATAGTAAGAGCATTAATATGCTTTAAGCCGTCGCGGAGTCCGGTAAGCCGCTTATCCTGCGCTTGCTTATTAACAATATAGGCTATAGCAATCTTATACTATAGGGTTAGAAACAAAGAATTAATGTATTAGGTCTCGCTATCGTAATTAGGCCGCCTCGATAGGCTATCGGTAGGGTTACTTACGCCTAGCTAGTATAATATATTAAAATCGAACCTAGCGAGGTAGACGGCCTACCTAGCCTATCGACCTATAACCCTAGTAACCTTAGCGATACTACGGAGGTTATTATAGTCTATATAGACCTGTATTATATATTAAGCCCTATCGAGGTAGTGCCTCTAATACTTAAAGGCCTCGACAATAGCTAAGAGCTCTTGCTCGTAGGTCTCGTAGCGGCGCTTAGCGTTAATTATCTTCCTTAAGAAGAAGGCAATCGGGTACTAGTAATTGTTATTAGCTTATTATAACATAATAGCTAATATAGCGAACTACAAAGCGTTAGTCTTAATACGGATCTGCCTACTTAGTACGAAATAGTACAATAAGGGGACTTTAGTAAAGCGCTTCTTTAGACCGTTAAAAGCGGCTTATACCTTATTAGTCTATCTAAACTCTCTAGTCGGGTTAGCCTTGGTTTTAGTAAAATTACTTAGGGGTATTATATGCCGTAAATAGCCCTTAATAAAGCGACGATAGAAATTAGCGAAGCCGAGGAACGACTATAGCTCCTTAATTAACGTAGGAATAGGCTATTTAGTAATAGTCTAGATACGGTTAGGGTTAGCCTTAATACCCTTAGTTAATACGAGGAAGCCGAGGAATAATACCTCTTTAGCAGCAAAGGTGTATTTAGAAGGCTTATAATACAAGCTATAGGTTCTTAGGCGATCGAGTACCTTATAGACTATAGCCTAGTACTCCGCAATATTAGGTAAATAGGTATAAACTAGGATGTTATCTAGGTAAACTATATAGAGGTAATCTAGTAGGCCGGACAAGGCCCGATTAATATAGGACTAGAATATTATAGGGGCATTAGCTAGCCTAAATAGCATAACTAAGTACTCGAAATAGCTATAGCGAGTACGGAAGGCTGTTTTCTATTTATCGCCCTTACGAATGCAGATACGATAGTACGTATCCTTAATATCTAGTATAGTATAGAAGTAGGCCCTAGAAAGGCGGTCGAGGGTCTTATTAATAAGAGGAAGTAGATAGCGGTCTTTAATAGTAATAGTATTAAGTCTACGGTAATTAATATATAGGCGTAGGCTACTATCTTTCTTTAGTACGAACAGGATAGGTATACTAGTAGGGCTATTACTATACCGAATGCGGCTATTAGCTAGGTTTTCCTCTAGGTACTTACGCAATATAGTAAGCTCTCGTTTACTAAGGTTATAGAGGGGACTAAAAGGGACCTCTTTGCCCTCTATAATATTAATCTTATAATCCGTCTCTTTAAATATAGGCAATATCGATACTAGGTAGTGTTTAAATATATCGATATAGGTCTCTAATAGGTTCTAGTATACGAGCAAGCTAATTAGGGTTTATGCTATTAGAGGGCATAGGTTTATCGTTATCTCCGCTGAGAAGGTTAGCCGTCGGATTAGCTAAGGCAGGTATTAGGTTGCTAATAAATAGGACCCTAATATCGTTAGGGCACTCGCTAGCATTAATATATTTAATATCCTCTTTCCTAGCGATTCTAAATCGCTATTATTAACTGCCTAAGTCTATAGCGATAGCGTAGTGCTTAAGAACAGGGTTGCTAATAATAATAGTAGCTCCCCTATATAGGTTGTCTATATCTACTACGTAGGTAGTAAAGTCTAGTAGGCGCTTATTGCCGAGATCGTCCCTTAGGACTATAGGAATATAGTAGGCTCTATAGGTTAAGTGCCGAGCGTTATTAAACTAAGTAAGGGTTAGTAGGTTAGTCCTAGGCAATTGTCGAAGGTCTAATTGCTTAGCTAGGCGATAGCTAATAAGGGCACTAACTGAATTTCCTAGGTCTAGTATAACCTTAGTTTTATAATTAGTGCTATACGAGTCCGATACGAGACAGGTACGTATAATAGCTAGTATAATGTCGATAGTTTTACGCCGTACGAGGCTAACAGTTAGTATAGCGCTTATTCTTTTTTCGACTAATAGGAAGGTTAGCCTATAGGGGTAGCGTTAGCTACTAAGAGGTACTTTCGGTACTTAGCGGTAGTACGGTTAATTCGGGCCTAATCCTTAGGTTTGTCGTATTAGTCTAGGAGATAGCTAGTACTATTATAGTTAAAGCACTTTAATCCGGTTAGAACATTGCCGTAGCTATTATTATTAGTCGAGCGGTTAGCGTTATAAGGATACGAGCCCCTTCTACGACCCCTATCGTAGCCTCCTCTATATAGTCGTCGGCTATAGCCTCTTCTACGGTTATTACTACTATTTCTATTATAATATTATTAGCATTGTTGTTTTAGGTAGAACCTTAGTTTCCTCTACGGCTACGGTTGCTACGGTTAGTACTAGCTAGTCGGATCCTTAATTCTAGTCGTTACTAGAGCTAAACAGCTCGTTTAGCTATTTCTACTTCGACTATAAATTAAATGCGTATTAGATTAGCCTGTTTAAACACACGGCGGCGGTCTAATTTAAGGACTAATTCCTATCTTAGTTTAGGTCGTATCTTAGATATCTAGATAGAGTCGGTTTTAGGTAGCAAATCGTCCTTAAGGGTCTTTAGATAGGCCTCGAAGGATCGAGAGGTTTAGTCGGCCTTTTGTTTAGTACGTAGGTATTAGTCTTAGGCGTGCTGCTAGCGCAATATAGGGTTACTAAGGGTATTTAGCATAATAGTCTTGTGGTCTTGCTGCTAAATAGCGGTCTAGTTGTTAAGGGAGTTAAAATAATTATCCTAGGTGCGTTTAGGTCGCTATTAATATACTATATAGCATAGACGACTAGCGAATAGTCGTCTAGAAGGGCCCTCGGTACGTTTCGCTGGTTAAGCTTATAGAGTTAAGCCCACAGTTACGAATACAGTCGTTATATTGCTTTCGACTAGAGCTATTAAATACGGTATAGTCCCTAAGTTTAGCATCCGTCTTTTAGACTAAAACAGATAGTAAGGAGGGCCCTACTATTAGTTTAGTATTAGTTACTAGGGCTTCCTATAAGCGATAAATTTCGAGGAGATTATCCTTTAGCTATTATTCTTAACGTAAGGCAGTAAGCCTATTCTAAGTAGCTTCTTAAAGTCTCGCTATCGGCTAGGGCCTAAAGGCTAGTTAGCTATATCGTCGATTAATAATATTATTAAGAATATCGTTAATAGGCAATTCTAGATTATCGCCTAGAACTAAAGGTTCTTTAGTAGGCCCTTTAGTAGGTGCTTCGGCAGGCACTTTAGTAGGCACTTTAGTAGGCACTATACTACTAGTATTATCGTTGCTAGCGCTACTAGCGGCGCCGCGGTTATTATTGCTTCGTAATAAGCCGGCTATTATAATAAGGGGTAGCACTAATAATATATTATAGCCCCTTATAGTACGGATATAGCGGAATTAGTAGGTATCGGCTTAGTATAATTAACTCGGTATAATAGGCCGTATAGAAGGCCTTACTTAATAATTAGTACGATTGTTTTTAGTAGAATAGTACGTGTAGGTTCCGTCCTTTAGGCGTAATATAGTTAAATCGATAGTTTTCGTAGCTATACCGCTAAAAGCTTAAAATAAGGACTATCTAGCTACTGCCCTTAAAAGGTAGATCGAATACTATATAAGAAGGGTTATATTAGTAGGTAGATAGGGTAGTAGTAAATTAGTATAGTATTTGATAAGGATCTAGAAGGAGAGAGAGGAAGGTAGGCTAGTTAGCCTAACGCTAAGCGCTAAGCCCTACCTAAGGCACTAAGACCCTAGCTTTACTCGAGCTAGTTATATACTAATTATATATAACCTCTAACACTTAGGGAAAGAGGAATTATTATACTACTAGCTTTTCTCCTTAGATATATTATATATAGAGTAAGGCTACTTATTCTAGTTAGGAGTAGACTAGTAATAAAAGACTTTAATATATATATTAAATACTATTCTATATACTAAGTACTAGGTATATACCTATATATTATATAGTATATATAGAGGCTAATTTTCAGTATACCGTATATATACTTCCCTAACGGAGAGCAGGTCCGATCTATCCTCCTTATACCCTCTGTTAAGGTTACGGCGAACATCTTTTTAGCTTTTTGAGCCTGTCTTGTGCCTGGGTTGCCAGAATTGAGCAGTATCGTTGGTCAGTTGGCCTGTGGAATGCTTGTGATAACCCACCTACCACTCGATCGGTTAGTTCAGGAACCCTGTGTTCCCTCGGTTCTTAAAAGAGCGTAGATGCCGCGCCGGCGGGGCCACATGCACGCCGGCGTTCAAGACCACTTCACCTCTCTCTCCATCTCTCACTATACACGACAGACTCGTCCTTGAGCGTGCGCACAGTCCTGCGTGTGATACCTCCTGGGACTGCTGTTACTCGCACGACGCGTTTCTAGCGATGAGCCGGAGACACTCGAAGACGGGAACACAATGGCGAGCTTACAACTTCCGGCTTGTGCCGTGGCGTGCTCAAAGTACATCGGGAAACACGACAAGATATGCAGCTATCACAAGGTCTTCACTTCTGCCGTCACACGTTGCGTCCAGAAGAAATGCCCGACCCTCGAAGACGTGCTGCAATGGCAGACTCAGTACGCTTCGGTATGCGGCCTTCCCCCGCGCGACCAAGGAACTTTGGAAATCAGCGTGACATACGCACTATTCGCCGTGGCTACTGTCTCATTCGCGGGTCGCCTCCTCTCTCGATCGAAGTTCATGAACGGCCTTGGTTTCTGGTGGGATGATTTGCTGGTCCTAGTGCTTTGGATGATGTCGATTGAGCTGGTGGTATGCCTGGCAATTATGCGGCATAATGGCGCTGGCAGAGATGCAATAGACTGGATCAGCAGAGACCACGTCGAGAGAGTGTTGTTGGTGAGTGCTACACCACTTTCGTACGATGTGCGACTTCCACTGACGGCTCTCGTGATAGTGGGTGTACGCCAGCGAGCCATTCTACATCATTGGCACTTATAGTTCCAAACTTGTCTGGGTACTATTGTATCTGCGCATGTGAGTGAGCAAGGCTCGGATCAAGGACGATCCGCGTGCTGATTCTGACTTTAGGTGGGAAGCCAATACTATGTTTCGCAAAGTGTGCTGGGGCACAGCTGGCCTTATGATAATGGGTCTGGTAGGGTTTGGTGTAGCAGCTATCGCCGTTTTTTGGCCTCATCAGTACTACGTATGTCCCCATGCCAGATTAGACATCCAATCGCTAACCAAGGTCTGCAGATGGGAGATTCGGCAGTCGTCCGCACTCATCGATCTGGCATCGACTTGATACCGGCTGTGCTCAGCATCGGAGTGCTCAACGTAGCTGGTGATTTCTGGGTGCTGCTGCTTCCGATACCCAAGCTGATCACTCTCGACAGTATCACAAGACAGCGTAGGATGTGGTAAGTCTGCAAACTGGTCAGAGGAGATGCCAGTGCGTCAAAATGCTAAAGAGAAGCCACAGGATCTGCACAATTTTCTTGCTCGGCTTCGTTGTGACCGTCTGCAGTATGGTCCGCTTCACCACGATCCTACCCCTACGAAACACAACCAACGCCACTTGGGATTTTGGTCACTTTGTGATTTGGAGCGAGATCGAAATACATCTGTCGGTGGTCACCTGCAACTTACCCGCGCTTGCTGGCTTGATACATCGATTGAGATGGCGCCATCGAAGGTGCATCACGAGCCAGGGAGAAGAGGACCAGCAGCCTTCCGGAATAGCAAGGTCGAATGCAACCAAGCAAGGCACGTCTGTCTTTGACAAGATGTGCAATGTCGATGATGACTTGTGTGAGGACAGTAATGGCAGGATAGTAAGGCGAGAGAAAGATCCGAAGCCACCGGATTAGAACTGATTCAATATTGAGAAAATAAAAATGAAGCATTCACGACCCTGATCTGTATTCGATCCTACCAAAGAGCTGTATCCTCCGTCTTTGCATACTTGGCGACCTGCCTCGCCACACATTGAGCCTGCCCAGAATCATCCAGGGCCTGCTCCTCTGGATCTCAGCACAAATTATTATCTACTCCACTGTAACCTCTTGCCCATGCGGCGAGCCATGTTCTGCAGCACAACGGGATTGCTGAAGGTCACGCATGTGGCTTCTCAAGTAATTTGCTGCCTCGATTGTATCACTGGTTGCAACAGCCCTTCGCTGAGATAGGATGTGTCGCGGCCGGGGAATTGCGGAAAGAAAGCTATTTCCGAAGTGCGATGATATTTGCCAGGAGCGCAGCAATGACTCCAAAAGCGACTATGTCCTCTCAGGGTTGCTGTGCGGCTGCACAGGCCATGCGAGAAGCGCCAAGAAGCAGCATGTGAGAACTGACGGCTGTGGCAGAAAGTCAGGCTTGGCTTTCACGTGTAAGACAACCCTTTCCACGAAGTTCCAGGATGCATGTGCTGCAGAAGCAATGAGATCACAGTGCGGTAGGATCACCAGAAGTGAGTGGTGACGAGTTGAAGGCCGGTCCATAAGTAACAAGATTCATTGCAGTCACTTCGAACTTCAGCCAATTTTCACTACCACCAACGCCTCGCTCAAATTGCCAAACAAAAAGAGCTCATCTTCATCACTCATACAATTCCTCCCCTTCATCACCCTCCTCACTCTCAACCTCATGCCCATTCACCACCGGCGCAGTACTCCCACTTCTCCTCGAAGCCCCAGCAGAAGTCGCCCTCCCAGCGGTGGTCCCACCTCTCCTCCTCCCCCCACCAGCATCCCCCGCCGCTTTCTCTCCAACATGCGGCGCATCCACCCACGCAGTGTGACAAACCGCACACTGTTCCCTCCCATTCTGCGCGCGAAAATAATTCCTCATACAATGATCATGCAACCTCGCATTACAAGGCAAATTCGGACACCTCTGTCCCACCGTCACAATATCCTTACAAGCAGCACAAAATTTGATTTTCGGGTGAGGAGAGTTGTCTTCGTCTTCGTTTTCGGGTTCATCTTCTTCAGGCTCGTTATAAGCATCAACAAGCCAAGTCCGCAATTCCATTAACGCGCGTTGAGAGAGTGAGTAATATGATGTTTCGTCGTTGAATTCAAACCATCCTTCTGCGACGAGAGATTGGAGTAATCTTTCGGCTTGGGACATTGTCAGGCCAGAATTTGTGGGTTGGGCATCGGAAGATTCTCGTGGTGGTTTGTGGCATTTTAGTGCTCGGTTGCTTTTCACCGCCATGATTTCTGCTCTTGGGGTGTTGTTCTCGTCGAACATGACGTCGAGTACTCTCTTGACAAATGCGATTTCGTCTGGTGTATGCGTGGTCGCGATCTGCGTGAGCGCATCGGATGTCGTGTTTACGAGGGCATATGTTCGTTCTCTGGTGGTTTGGTGGATGGAGGATCGGATTTCGAAGTCGAAAGGGGAGATGGCGTCGCCAACGGCTTGGATGTATGTTTCGAAGTCTTCTTGGGTGACATCGTTCTCGAGTGTTTCTCGTTCTGGTGTTGCTGCTGTCTGTATGGCTGCGATTATGGGTTTGGCTTCTTCGTAGGTCAATGCTTGTCGCGAAAGGAGAGATTGCAGAAATGCGCGTTGGCAAGATCCGTAGACCACGCGATCTGCATCTCCTTCCATGAATGGCATTGGCGTAGTGGTGGTGTTTGTGCAGTCTTGTCGCGGTCGTAAATGTCTACGCGTAGTGGAGACGCGACTCACGCGCGAAGTTGAAGCTTTTGGGTTCACGATGCCGAGGTGTTCCCTTCACCCACGTCCGCTGACATCTCTGCTTCAAAGTTCACCACCAGTATCCCTGTCCTTCTTGACGAATCTGTACACTTTATCACGCCATCGAGACATGAAATTGCATCAAAGGTTGTAGAAAGACGAGAGCGGCATCCCTTCGTTGTTCAGAGGGTCTTTTCAGACCCAGTTTCAAGGTTTTGAGGCTTGTAACGTCTGCGGGAAGACTGTGAACAGACCAGAATTCTGCCTGTGCGCGTTGCTCTGCACGCAAAATACCCTGCGCCACCAAACCTTGCTATTTGGCAACGAAAATGCTGAACCAGAAAGGGCTAGCTATATAGACAGCACGATGCAGTAACAGGAAGATCGACCTTCCGTTGACCAATCGCCAGATTTCCCACGTAGCGCACCATGCGTCTTTGACATCACTCAGATAACAACAACAGCAGTATTCTTATCCACCAGCAGCAATAGCAAGAACAGCAATATCCCACCAGGACGAGCGGCTCCAAGACCATTCATACCTGTAGTACTCATCCCACATCATGGTCTTTTACCTCCCCGACCTGCGACGAGACAACATCGCCCTCTACACAATTCCCGCATTCTGGGTACACCACGACCTTCCTCGAATGTCTTACACCTTCTAACAACGTATTCGCAGGCCATCTCCATCTATCCGCGGATTTTCGCCTTGAAGCTTTTCGAGGCCGAGACCAGCGAGAAATTCGATACCAGAGTCCCCCGGGATTTCCAGGGGAAAGTCGCAGCCAACACGAAACTAGACGAGTCCAAAAGAGGACGTATTCGTCGTGCTGAAGCAGCGTGTGCCAATGGTTTCGAAAACTTTGGACTATTTGCTGCAGCTGTCACCGCCGGTAGCTTTGCTGGTTTAGACCCGTTGACTCTCAATGGCTTGACTTTGGGATATTTGGTTAGTCGGATCTTCTATAATCGGTACTATATTGCTGCCGAGACTGCGGGCATAGCAAAGGTCAGAACAGCAGCGTATATGGGTGGGTTGGCGTTGTTATTCACAATATTCATCAAGGCTGCACAGAAGTTGAATAAGCTTAATGCATGAAGCAATTGATGGTTGGATGGAATGTCATTCGATTCGCTTAAGCCGACTCTCTATGAGCATTTCACTCATGCTACTGCTGCCACTTCAGCGTCCACAGAAGCCATCAAGCCGGAGGGTATCCCTCCATATGCGCCTAAAGCCATGCAGCAAACCCAGCAGCGCAGATTCCGATCTACTGCAGTACAACGCCATCGCTTTTTCCCATATTGGCATAAATTGTGACCGCCATTTAACGGTAAGACTTCTGGTAGCGGGCACGAGCACCTGGACCACCGAACTTCTTTGGCTCGCATCGTCTGTTGTCAGCGACGAGGAGGGTACGGTCGTAAGCAACAAGAGCCTGCTTCAGCTGGTTCTTGGAGTGCTCATCGATGTACTTCTGGTAGTATGCGATCTGCCCAAGTCAGTATTTGTGAAGGTGCCCGTTGCAGTGGGACTTTAACGCTCGCGCATGCTACGGCTTGATGCCATGTGTGAAATCATGCTGCAGCTGCAACTCGAGGTCTCAGACCGTGAGGTTTGTACATACGATGCTCTTGGCGATGGCTTGACGGATGGCATAGACCTGGGAGGTGTGACCACCACCACGGACGCGGACACGGATATCGACGTCGGCTGTGATGATTTGCATGTTAGCTTGTGCGCTTCTTCGCCTTCCATTGTGTGTGCCATGTCTCTTTCGTTCCCGCTGAGAGCAAATTGCGTGCGCCAATTCCACCTGCTGTTCTCTTGCTCTGGCATCTCATCGCACCGAGATTTGACGTACCGAACTTGTCGAGACCGAGAAGGAGGATTGGCTCGTAGACCTTGAAGCGCAAGACCTGTGGCTCGACGAGCGAGAGCGGCTTGCCGTTGACCTTGATCAAGCCCTTGCCCTGCTTGCAGTGTGCGACTGCGGTGGCAGTCTTCTTCTTGCCGAAGCACTGGACGCTCTGAACGGCAGCCATACTTGCGGAATGGATGTCGTTGGTGAGGGCGGAGAAAGTGAGCGCTGGGTGACGGTGTGCTTGGAGATTTCTGGAGTGGTGGTCGTGCTTGCTGGTTTCGAATTCGCGATTTCTCGGGAGCGGGCCGAAGTGGAAAAGTGCCAAGAGTTAACGCCTGAGGTTGGAACTTCGCCTCGCTTTTCGATTGATCTCGACCACGACTTGCAAATCTCTAAACTATGGGGTTGCATAGCACAGCTTTTGGTCGTTTCCGAAGACGGGATGAAAACTGAGATGGAGTCTGGTGTGCAGATCGGATCCATCTGAAACATATCACCGCAGTGACCATATGCGTCTCACCGAATCTCAAAATGAGCATCGAACGAAAAGCGCAGAGACTTTTTGCATTCGGATCTAATGGCTCTGGACAATTAGGCATCGGGCACAGGGACGATGTTTCAGCACCGCAAGAATGTGTACATGATTCTAGTCTTGATGGTACGACTCTCAAACAGCTAGCAGCAGGTGGCAATCATGCGCTGGTTTTGTCACACGGCGGCAAATTGATTTCTACTGGAGACAATAGCGATGGAAGATCCTGGTTGCAAGAAAGAGAGGCGAGTAGCAGATGGACTTCTGTTCAAAATGTTGCATCAGAGGAGACTGCTGGAGCAGGAGCTGTAGATCACGTTGCCGCGACTTGGTCTGCTTCTTTCGCTGTATGCCATGGCAAATCATCCGCAATCATCGCCAGTGGCACTGGCAATTCCGGCGAGCTCGGCTTAGGTCGCGACGTAGTGACTGCACAAAGTCCGCAATGCATCAAAAACCTCTGGCCAGAGAGCGCTAAGGTTGTCAAAGCTGCATCATGCATGGGCCATGTTGCTATTGTGCTGTCAAACGGCGAAGTCTGGGGTTGGGGCAAAGGGCGCAAAGGCCAGCTAGGACAGCCCAACGAGAATGTCTGGACTCCACGCAAGATAGAGGGCATTCCATTCTTCGCTGTCGATGCAGTCTGCGGCAAAGACTTTACATGCATATTTGGCGACCCTGCAACGGGAGAGCTACTCGTGCTTGGACCAACTGGCAGTGATCGCTTCGGAATCAGGTCCAATGCCCCAGCATCTGTATCTGGATGGAAGCAAGTCGCAGCGAGCTGGGGTAGCATCTACGTCCTATTCCCACCAGGTGAGGTAGTCTCTTGGGGTAGGAATGATCACGGCCAGCTTGCGCCTCCGAAATTGCCTCCTTTGGGTCTCATTGCATCAGGCAGCGAACATTGTCTCGGTCTGACAAAGACTGGCAAGGTGTTAGCTTGGGGATGGGGAGAGCATGGTAATTGCGGTATACCAACCGATGACTCGGGTGACGTGACAGGTCGATGGAATGAGATCCCTCTATCTCATCCGGCGACTTCCATTTTTGCTGGATGTGCGACCAGCTTCATTGTGACGGAGGTGGAAGGCAAATGAACCATCCGAACGAGTGGTATACCGAACCGATGGTCAGACCAGAATCACCACATGCCTCCTTCAGTCGAACATGCCGTGCAGCTGCAACTTGGTCAGTTCCAAAAAGTCCAAGATTATGGTAGATGGCGTCCGCCATCAACATCATCGTACTCACCTGTGAAAGTCGTTGGGTCGGTGCAAGCCCCGAGGCTGTATTTTGGCTGTATGGTCCAGACTCATGGCTTGGCATAGATGTGTCTCGGCTCATCCTCGGCCGATTTTGGCTACTCAGATCCCTTATGGTTGGCCGTATGCTGGCAGAGAAATTGTCATTACTCGCATCCCACCCGAGCATCTCGTCGTCGTCCTGCTCGTAATCGGGGGGATCCCAGGTTTGGTCGTCATCGCCACCTGCTGTGGGTATGAAAAGACTCTCCGGATCTGGATCATCGTCTTCCACAGTAATGGCTGTTGGGCGCGGTCTGTCTCGCGCAGCCATACGCTGACTTTGACTCGCGAGCGGCCTGCCAGCACTTGGTCGACCGGGAGGTGGCATCTCGGGGTTCGACCGGCCGTTGCGTTGCGACGGAACGGCAGAAGGCTGTCGAGAGGACGTTCCATTTGGACGTGTTGAAACAAATTTTGGCGCGGAATTGTTCGAGGATGCCGATGCTCCACGATCACCAGTGGTCATCAAAGTGAACTCGCAGTGAATGCCATGATTTTGGTAGCTGAATTGTAGAGGTCGATTGGGGTATGAGAAGTATGCGTGAATAGGTCCACGCAATGTCTCAGCATGTGTGACAATAGCTCGAAAGTCTTTGACGCTGATGATAATGTGCATGCCTTCTTGCATATGGAAGTCCTCGAAATCTTCTGTGTGAATCGCAATAGCAGTCTCAAGTGGTTGCTTGAGCACTTCTGAGATATGGTTAGGTCAGTCATCATTGGACATGGGATGGTGAATACCTTTGCCATCTTGAACCTTGTCAGTGAAGCTGGTCAGGACCACTTTGCCATCTTGAGCCAGCAAATCTAATTGCTCCGTCTTTGGGTGGAAGTATTCGACATACTCCCTCATGACGCGGGACGAGATGCGAAAGCCTTGAGAAGCGGTCGTTCGGTCAAACAGAGCATGCATGACCTCGGAAGATTCATATGTCAAGCGAAATGTCTTCGTCATGCCTGGAAGTGCTTAGCGAGTGTTGATGAGTTCGGCGAAATGATGAGTTACCGTGCTTTGCTCGCATCTTCACAACAAGACGGCATTCCGCCTTATCGTCCTGATCTTGCACTGTCACATCACAGCGCTCGATTCCAGGGTTCTTGCCGATAGCATCTTGTGTGCGGCCTTTGAATACAGACTGCAAAGACTTGTTGAACAGCTGGCAGGTGAAGCGGTCACCATTGCTGGCTTGGCTGCTCGACTCGAAGTCGTAGTCCAAGAAGAAGGTATTGGCATCGAGTGCAAAAGAAGCATATGCAGTTCTGGACGAATTCAGAGCCGTGAGAGTAAGCTATCTGGCGGTCAGCATGTAACATGGAGTACATTCGCGAAGACATGCCTTCTCACTTCTTGCCTCCAGTGACACGGTGTCTCCAAATTTTGCGAGGCAGGTCAAAAGCTCGTATAGACGGCCTGTAGCTTCTTGCGTGAGCGAAAAGCTCAAGACGGCCATCTTGTTGATGAAGTCATATTCGGGCGAAGGTGTTGTCGCGAGTCTTGGCGCGTCAAGGAAAGAGGCCGGGGAGTCGACGCGCTTCAACGCGACGTCAACGTCATCCCGACTTTCATCAACACAACATCAACGACAACATTTTCGGTATATTTGCATTGCATGTCGCATACCAGCTGACTTCAACCCCTTGTGCTGTTGTCGAAGTCTTAAGTCCTGCGTCCGAGGGGATTTGGTCGCGCTCGCCTGGTCCATATATAGTCCATACGACTTCGCCGGCCGCCAACACATGTCTTCAAGTGGGCTTCAGGCTCTGCCAGCAGATTTGTTTCATCTCCTATCAGCAGAGCTATCAGATCGATTGGACTTCTCTACACTTTACAACTGTGCTGTTAGCAGCAGACAGCTTGCGAACGCTGGTGCCGTCAATGCACTCTATCGGTGAGCACTCTCACTCTCTACGAAGCCACATCATCTTTGTATCGAGACAAGGCCTTGCTGACTTGGTGTTAGTATCAGCGCTCAAGCTCCAGTAGCCAGTGGCGGAGAAGGTCTGCCCTTGGCGGAGCAGGAACTGGTGGTACAACGATGGTCAATCCTATGGCGGACGATAACATTGTCAGCATTTGGGAAGACTGTGTTTCCTTACTGCCGTCACCTACGGTACTTGGACTTGAGAAACCTTGGTCAACTCCTAGAAGACGACAAATTCAGAGGTAAAATCTCGAAGCATTTCTTTTCTGGCGAGTTGGCCGGGTTCCACCACGTCTTGCAGACTCCGGTCGGCAAGGGGCGTGCAGCACGCCTGGATGTTAGGAAGATCATCGCTGGCATTGGCAATGTCATCACTCAGAACGCGCCGCTGCTGGAAGCTCTCTCTGAACCGGCAGATGCAAACATCTTCTCACACGCGCTCTTGGAATGGGCCCCCCGTCTGCCCAAGCTAAGATCTTTAGATTTATGGGACGGCAAAGCGTTGGCGGATGAGACTCTTCAGACTCTTCTGCACGCCCATTGTCCAAACTTGAGCAGCTTGAGGATATACCTGTCAGTCAATGAGGATGCGGACCACGCCTTGGCCACGTTCATCAGCGGTATGCAGGAGAACCAACTCAGAAACTTTGAGAACATTGGCAGCTGTCGCATAGGTGCTGAGACGTGCCTCGCATTGAATCATCATGGTCGAAGCCTAGAGTCACTCAAGCTCTGCTTGGCTAATGAGGATCTCCCAGCTCTTGGGCTATTGCAAGGCTGCACTGCTCTGGAAATTCTGGCCCTTGCTTCTACAGAACGTAACAATCCTGTGGACCTCAAGGCAACTCAGAACGATGCCTACCTCGAGATCATAGATTGGCTCGCGAAATGCAGCTCCCTCAAAGAAATCGGCTTTACGGACTTCGTCTCGGCGCCCGACCTGCTTCTTCCTGTTCTATTGAATAAGGACGTGACGTTGCAAAAGCTTCAGATTAATGCCAATGAGAACACCATGTACATCGTCAAAGACCACCACGACTTCCACCAAGCTCTTAGCCAGCAACCCGGTCTCCGTCGCCTGCTCTTGAGAGCGGATCCAGATCCTATCAGCAGCTCTGATGACATCGACACTTTAATGAATGCCTTCTGCTCACTCAAGGAGTTGCGAGAATTGAATCTGATACGAATTTCGGATTACTTTTCCAACAAGCATATCGCTGACATTGCCGAAAAGCTGTCCAATTTGGAGGACCTCTGTATTGGTGGCTATGGCATTGACGATAAAGTCTTTGCGAAACTCGCCGAGCTACGAAATTTGCGCTCCCTGACCTTCAACGGCATTACCTCATTCAGTGTCCACGGTATCCTCGACTTCATTGATAAGCTTGGAGAGGGCAATCGAGGTCTTCTGCTATCGATCGATGCTGCTGATCCTGATTCGGCCATTCCACAGGAGTGTCAGGATATGATTCGAGACGTAAGTGCCATCCGTTATTAGTCGCTCCGAATACAGTCCGGTTTCACCTGAAAGACTCGCTAATTCTTGACAGGTTATTGCCCAGAAGCTGGAAGGAAGATTCGACTACACCTTGCTGAGAGACCCCAATGTTCCCGAATTTGATACCGATGATTCGGATTGAGCATTTGCAAGGACCTGGAACATGAGGCGATATGGATCTGCAGGGTTCAATAGACGAGAAAGTGTATCACCTCGACAGGTCGCGAAGAGCCGCAATAGAGATTGTCTCGAGTGGTCGCTCGCACTTTGTGGACCAACTTCTCCGGTGCATCTAGGGAGGGACGGAAAGCACAGTAGCACGACTGCCACACAGCATCGGCCAATGACGTGTCCCGAGCCCCACCATCCAATCGATCTCAGATCTTGGCCGACTTTCAGGAACGCGCCGTGCAAGAAACAACAACATGAGGTGAAAAGTCGAGATGAAGCGAATCCTGCTGATCGGAGGGTCGGATAGCTCTGGTGGAGCGTAAGTACATTAGCCGATGTAGTTGATAGAGCTCAGTCAGGCTGATGAACGATATCCAGTGGCGTTGAAGCGGACCAAAAAGTGGTGGCTTCACATGCTTGCTATGCCATGACCGCGACTGCCGCGTTAACGGCACAGAACACCCAGGGCGTTTACGACATTCACCAAACACCCTCGGATTTTGTGGAGAAGCAAATCAATGCTTGCATTGAGGACATTGGCGTCGATGTCCTCAAGACAGGTGTGTTCACGATCGTAGTGGTCTGAGCACCGCAAGATTGCCGAACTTGGAAGTACTGATCTTGAGTCTTCAGGCATGCTGGCATCGGCTCAGACCGTTTCGGTTGTCGCTGATGCCATACGGAAACATAATATTGCTACCACAGTGATTGATCCTGTATGTCAACTGTGCTTGCATGGTCATTTGTTATGCTGATATGTTGAAGGTCATGGTTGCAACCAGTGGCGCCCAGCTTCTGCCAGAGTCCGCAGTCAACACGTTATGCTCTGAGCTGTTGCCGGTCACGACAGTCTTGACACCCAACATTCCTGAAGCCAATCTCATGCTCAAAAAAGCAGGTAAAGACGCTATCGACATCCAGGATCTCGATGGCCTAAAATCACTAGCAGCTGCAGTCCACTCGTTGGGTCCCAAAAACGTGCTTTTGAAAGGCGGCCATCTCCCGCTTTCCTCAGACTACAACGTTGCAAAATCAGAGGATAACAAGAAGATTGTCTGCAACATTCTCTTCACCAGCGATTCGATAGACGTCATCGAATTTCCCTACCAGAAGTCTGAGAACACCCACGGCACCGGATGCTCCCTGGCTTCTGCTCTTGCTTGCAACCTCGCGCTTGGCCATGATTTGGTGCACTCCGTCGTCGCTGCAAGCCGCTACGTGGATGCCGGCATCAAATCTGCTGTCAAGCTTGGTCACGGATCTGGACCCATCAATCACTTTCACTCCCTTCAGGTCCTGCCTTTCCCGCCGGGCGGCTTTGTGGATTACCTTCTCGACAGGAAAGACGTACAGCCGGCGTGGTACGACTTCACACACCACGAATTTGTTGAGCAGATGGGCGCTGGCACGCTCGATCCAAAAGCTTTCAAATACTACATGATTCAGGACTACCTTTACCTAATCCACTTTGCCCGAGCCAATGCACTAGCTGGATACAAGGCTAAGAATATGGACGACATCGCCGGCGCAGCAGCGATTGTAACGCATATCAAGAACGAGACTGAGCTGCACATCAATGAATGCAAGGACTTTGGACTGACTGTAGAAATGATGGAGAAGTACGAGGAGTCTCAAGCTTGCACAGCTTACACGAGATATGTGCTCGACATCGGACAGTCGGAGGACTGGCTTGCGCTGCAGATCAGTCTCCTGCCGTGTTTGCTGGGATATGGCATGATCGCGAGGAGATTGAAGAAATTGCAAGAGACAAATCCACCAAAGACACCGAATCGATACCTGACGTGGATCAACAACTATGTTGCGGAAGACTATACAGCGGCGGTGACGAAGGGCTGTGGTAAGTTATGCTCTGACTTCGCTCGTAGCAATGGAACTGACAATTGTAGAATTGATCGAGAAACATGCTTTTAAGCAGTCGCCCTACCGGGTTGAGGAGCTTGTGAAGATTTTCATTCATGCGACGAAGATGGAGACTGGATTCTGGGAGATGGCTTCGGCGCCGGAAGCTGGGAAGCAGGCGAAGAGCGAGTCTGGGCTCAGAAACACACATCATAGCCACGTTCGGTGGTGATGTGAGTAGATTCTCTTAGGTGCCGTAAGGAATTTACAGTCATTCTGCTCCTGTTCGGCTGCGATGCGAGGCCCGCCCTTCGGTCTTGCCCTAGCCTAGCCGACTCTGCTCTGTGACATCACACAGATAGGCCCTCCTTCGTGGGAACCCAACGCGTCGAACAGGCTGTCAATTGTAGGACCGGTATATTTTACGCCTAGCCTGCCGCCCCCAAAATCTCACAACCAAATCCACAGCTTCGGAAACTATACTGTAAAGGTCCGTAACCATCAGCTTAGGATGAGTGCTGCCGAAATATTGACCTGAACCAGGCATGTCTGAAAGGTTTCGGGCAACCACGAACATGAAAAATGTATTGTGGTATGGCGGCGTGAAATTGATTCGCCCCCATGTTTGCGATCCTCTCAGAAGTCGATCCCACTCAATCTTGTCAGTCGCCTCATTCTCACTCTTCGAGACAAATTCGTGGTCGATGCTGCGATCATGGAGTCAACACTTCCAGACTTCGTGAACATTAAACTGCCGCTGGCGAAGAAGAGGAGGACGACCGAGGAACATCCGGGACAGCTTGCAACATCTGTGTGGTCATTTGTGCTCGGAGTCCGCAATCGGCGGGATTGCTGTCAGAATTTATGCACCACGGAAAGGCTCACCGAGGGCAGACTGCTCTCTGCCAATGCCTCCTTCATGCCTCTTAATGCCAATCGCGCTTGGCATTCGGCTGGAGATTCGGACGAAGGCATCGCATCGCGCATTCACCTCGCACGACTGGGAAACTCATGCAGGCTGCCGTTTATTTGATGTTTCGCCCTTGCCAAGTTGTGACTGACGCCTTCTTTCTTCCAGAAGTACCTTCCTTTCCTCGAAATACACCGACCCCGAACGTCATACTCTAGAACACGAGGTTTTGCCTGCTGTGGTGCGCGCGTAGCCCCCTTCGCCCTCTTCCGCCCATTCTAATGTGGACGTAGCAACGATCGTGCTTATGGCCCTCATCCGTTCCTGCCGACGAAGAAGTCCTGCATTCTGCTGTTTTCCAGTGCCGCTCGGCAACTCGACGCGGTGTGGCATTCGTCCAGACAGACTCATGGTGGCAGGGCAGCTGGACGGCGTAAAACCGTCGTCTCTTCAGCTCGTAGGTCGACGCGTCTGTGTCGGCAGCGAAGATAGTGACATCCGCAACCGACGCGTCCATCCATCCCATCATCACAGCATGCGGCAGGCATTCCTCATGCAGTGTCTTGATACCGAGACAAAGAGTGGCCTGTCAAGGGGCATCGAGGCCAGTCGGGTCAGATTTTGTTTCACGCAACACCATCTTTTCCGCAGTCGCTTGATCTTCTTTCCAGCCCAACTTCTGCATCTATCACCTCATCGAGAGCCAGTATGCGCCCTCTCGTGGCCGCCGTCAAGGCTGAGTCGCACCGCATGACACCATCGACCGTAGTATAAACCGTAGCAAGTTTTCGTGCTCGTGGGCATTCATCATCGAAACGTGGCGTCATGGGATTGATTGCTTGCGTACCAACGAGGCGCATTCGAATAAGTTATTGTTGCTGAGACCAAAGAGTGAGAGATCAGCACCGCTTCGAGGCTTCGAGGAGCGCCATCCCTGCGGCGATCGCGACAAGGTGTCAACGTTGCATCTCACGGTCTCCGCGAGACTCTCTTCTGTTGACATGATTTGTGCATCCTCATGTAATCAAGTATTCCAGGATTCGGTGGAGAAGATGATGATCGAACAGACTGAGAGGTGGCGAGATGTGTGTCATCGATATGGCAGGCCGATTGGGGATGTTCCAACCGCTCCCTTGCTGATGAGCCGGCATCATTTTAGGATGGTGGCAGTCTACCACAAGTCAAGCAGTCCTCCACTTGTAAGCGCTGTCGATATGTTTCTGCTTAAAGTATGTGTGCAAGCGCACTTGATTGCGAAATCTCGCGTGCATTGAGGAAGAACGACCCAGCAGTGAAACGAAACGGATTGGGAAAGAGAAGGCCGGTGAAAGAAGCATCAGCCTCTGCAAGTACTGATGATAATTAAGCCATCGCACGAGCCAGGAATAGGGGTGTGATGTGATGACTTGACCGACTTTTATTAACAATCCAGCGGTGTAATAATGTTGCGAAGGAGCTCTGCATGGTGGCAACATGCAGCCTGCCTTACTTTCATCTCGATGTGATGCCGCCATCAAAATTCCAGTGCCATCTCGACAGTGTACAAGTCATCGACCTGGTTAAAGCTATACCAATTTCAGCATCTTTCAGAGCAAGCAACTACATATCTATGAGCATAGCGCCAGAACATCCAGAAACAAGTTCCACGTACATAACCTTTTCGCAAGCCTGCTAAGTTAGTCTATCTATAATTCCGTCGGGAACTGCGAATCGATAAACGCAGACTATACGGACATGCTCATGGATACAGCCTTGTAGCAATGATTATACTTTCGCAAGCGCGGAGCGCGCTTATCATTACCTAGGACGACGGGAGTAGTGTGGCTTGTGAGATGCATGCCACGAGGGAGGGTGCGGTGCGTTCCCTGTACAGGACAACAGGGCAGACTAACTAGTGACTCGCATGAGGAGCACGTCGCCGTACCGTAGTCTTGTGTACCGTTCGCGACAGCAGCGCCTTTTTCGGTCCCTCCCGGTCGGGATGCCGATGGTGGGAACCACGATTCGTCTTGGGTTGCTATCAACCCGCCGAATGATATGGGTAGAGCGGCAGCGTGAGCCGACTTCACATCTTTCCTTCCTTCCTTCCGTCTTCTCCTCATTATTGCGATGCGGTGCGGCGTGCGGAAGACGGCGCCGGCGTGTAGTTGTAGAAGTCATGCAAGTAAGCGAAACGCGAAACTCGCCTGGTCGCATCGGTAGTTCTACCTCAGCTAAGCATTTCCATCGAAGCCATATATAGCGACTATCTGTTAGCCACTGCCTATCCCCAGCGCTACTTCTCCTTGCGTTGACCTGCTGTCGTGCAACCTTCGCTAGAGTAAGCACTATACCTACTCCATCTCTCACACACGCGGCAGTAGTTCATGTGTACTTAGTGCGTCTTTAGCTGCCGTTAGCAAGTCGCAGTTCAAGTTCTCAGCTCCCGCTAAGGCATTCCATGGCGCAGTCTCCGTCTGCACCGCGTGTGTTCGGCGTGCAACCGGCTGGCATACGTGACTGGCTCCCGGGTCCGGCATGCGAACAACCTATACGCGACATTGGTTGGAGTACATAGCGTGGCGACGATTTTAATGCCGAACCGTATTTTGCGAGTAGACGACTTGGCGCAAAGCCTGTAAACCACAACTTGACGAGTACTGCAAGAAGTTGTATCTTGAAAGATTGGCGTCGTGTATGCTGCTATGTCCTCGAGCTTTGCTTTAACTACAAATACGAGCAGGCGTCGCATTCCCCCGAGCTCTCCTTCTCACTCTACCCTTCCTCGACCTCTCTGCTCAAGTCATCAACAATGCATATGCTGAAAGTGACTCTCTAGTACTGAAAATCCACCGGTGCACAGAACGCCGTGTGAAGGTGCAAAAAACCTCTGCTTCTCCAAAACTTTCAATGTCTGCCTCCGCTCGTACGAAGGTTCATATTGGTATCACCGGCCGTTAAGAAATGGGAATGCCAATGGCCTGAAGCCGTCAAATCATCCTCGCCTGCCCTCACCAAGCCGCATGCGAATGTACACCCACCCATCAACACCCATTTATCTGGTCGCCAAGATGGATCACTATCCGCTCAACCACGAGAAGACTCCGTGAAAATGCAAAAGACCAGGGAAATGTCCTAGGGAATCCTCCGCACGAGAGTCGGTGGCATTAGTCGCCAACATCCTTGCTGTCCGTCCGATGTTTGCCGAGCCATTTGTCAAGAGCATCCGCCTAAGGCTGCTGGTAGGCTTGGCCCTGATTTTGATCGTGCGCTACACGCTGGTCAATACCCCATTCGCGAACGATGCAAGGAAATTACACACGTTGCTGGTGCTGGTATGGGAGCCCGCCCTGAGCGTATGGGCTCTGCGGGTAGCCTTGACCGCCGTACATCTGGCTGTTGCCGGAATACTGCTGCGCGCCATCGACTTGCTGCGGTTGCGCGTACTGACCGGGCGCCTGGCCGGTGGCGGGTTGGTAGCCGATGGGAGGTAGTTGAGGGCCTCCCATCTGCGGTTGCATCATGTTGGGTTGTCCGTAATGACCTGGCTGACCTTGGGCTTGCGTGGTGTCCTGACCCGACCGTTGGGCTTCTTGGCGCTGACGCTCCTCTTCGGCTTTGCGATTGTTCTCTTCCTCCTTCTTCTTGGCTTTCCATTCTTTGCGAATTTCCTTGAACTCTATATGTCGCAGGCTAGTCAGCATGTATGCAGGGCAGATTCCCAGAGTGATGGTAAAGCTAGCTGGCGCTAAGATGTGGGCATGGATAAGCCTGATGCTTAGCGCCCGCACGCAACGAGCGTTTTAACACACGACCCGCCGTAACACCAGCAGAAACGCGGCATTGAACGCAAACGCAATTTAGCTTGAAGACAAGCTTAAAACAATGCATAAAACGACCGACGCGGATTCATGGACGTACCTTCTGGAGTTCGCTTTGTGCCATGAGATTGCATCGTCACGTGTGCATTCAGATGATTCAACGTGCCGTATGCCTTCTCGCAGCCGTTCCAGCCGCATTTGTACATGCGCTCGATTTCCTCATAGCGTCTTCGAGGCCGCTTGTGTTGCTGCGCGCCAGGAATCGGCACAAACGAGTACACGGTCGAAAGCGGATGCCCGCCCTGCATCACGTTAGGATACATCATACCGGGATGCGCACCTGGGTATGTACCCACCGCTGGCGGTCTAGGGATCGAATGCGCGACCATGTTAGGAGCTGCTCCCCCTGTCGTGGCCGGCGAGTGGCCATAGCCCATCGGCTGTTGGTAGTGGCCGGCCCATTCTGGCCGGCCGTACGAGGTCATCTGTTGACCTGCGTACTGTGCGGGCATTTCTTGTTGTTGCGCGTAGGGCGAGTAGTTGTGCTGGGGAGGGTAGGTAGGGCTCGATTGAGCAATGGAGGGATCTATCGGTACATCGTTGTCAGATTTTGCGTTATTTGACGCGTGACCAGAGTGTGGATTGCCATCGGGCATGTTGAGGGACGGACTTGATGTTTGCGCCATACCGCTCTGCGCGCCTGCAGGGTAGCGTGACTGCTGCTGGCCGTCTGTGTAGGAGCGTTGGATGTATTCGGGGAAGCTTCCTGAACGCGCTGATTGCGGCAGTCCGTAACTTGAATCTGGTGTGGCGGAGGCGGAATGGTAGTTGGACGACTTGTAGTCTTGGCCGGCTTGGTATTGCACAGCAGACGGTTGATCTGTAGAGGATCCTTCAGACTGATGCCCGTTGTATGGCGCGTAGGGTGAGCTCAAACCTGACTGCGGGTATTCCGGCTGTCTACCATCCATTGACTGGGGACGGTCTTGTTGCAGGTGCGATGCAAGGATCGCGCTTAGGGAAGCGTCGTTGGTTTGAGCGGGCTGGGTGGATGGCGTCTTGTAGGCTCTGGACATGCTACGTCCAACACGCGAAAAAGACTTGTTGCAGCACGGATGGAACTAAACAAATCACGCTGACAGCGCGCCGTCGAGTACAAGTGGCCGCGGCTGGAGAGAGCCGGAGAAAGGCGCGCGCTGTTGTTTTGCTGCGAGAGAGTAGAGTAGCGCGCTCCTCGGCAGATCGAAGACGAATGTCTTGCAGATGAGGCTTCGAAGCAAGCTCCACCAGATGCTTCTAGCGCTCCGTCCAAAGCAAGCAAGTGGGAGAAAGGGCGGCGGCGGGCGGGCGGGCGCAGACAGGAACCAGATAGTGCCTCGAAGCTTTGCAAGTTGACCCGAACCGAATTTCCGGCGCAGAGGAGGACAAGATTGGGCCCTAGACGAGGATGGGTGAGGTGGGCGCTCGCTGTGTTGCAGAAGGGAGGGTGCTAGAGAGAAGACGGATAGTGTGCTTTGTAGCAGCGTATCGTGGCGAGTGCCCTGAAAATAGCGTGGTGTAGCGGCGCCTGAGACGGCTGGCACAGGCACACGGTGAGGTAATTGTGCCGGGCTCGACGATCGTCGTCTAGCTGCCGGGAGCGGGAGTCGCTGTTGAGGCAAGCGCGATGGAGACTTCACGAGCCTGCAGGGTGGGTGGGAGTGGGAGCAACGGGAAAAGTGGGCTTTGCGCAAAAGAGCAGAGCTGTGCAGGCGCGTGAGGAGAAGAGTGAGGTGCGAGCTGGGATGGCACGCCCACACCAGGTCAGGCGGGCGAGGATGATGACGGTGACGGTGACGGTGACGGTGACGGTGACGGCGGCGGCAGGCAAAGGCGCGCAGTCGTTCCTTGGGCAGGCGCGCAACTTCGGGCGGACGGTTGCCTCTTTGCAGCGCAGAGCAGTCTCGGTTGCAGCGTCGGCTCAGGTGCTGCTGCTGGAGGGCACACGCGCAGCGAAATTAGAGTTTCGCAGAGCTGCGCGTCGATTCGACGCTGGCCGCGACGCACAGACTCGCAGTGCTTGGCGCACAACGGACGAGTAATGTGCCGCTTTTCGCCGTGGCCGTGGCCAGTGGATGGGGGGGCCAGCGGGCAGGCAGGGCAGGGCAAGGCGGCGGGTGCGGCGGTGAATGGCCGGCTGAACGCCGTGAAGAAACAAATGCTGCTGCTGATGTGATGTGGTGTGCACGGGGCGCGCAGCCGTGTGCCAGTGCCAGTGCCAGTGCCAGTGCCAGTGCGCGTTGCAAATAATGCTGGCCCGCTGGATGGCCGAGCCTCTGTCTGCTGTGCTGTGCTGCAATGCTCCGAGCGGGAGCTAATGGTAATCGCTGTTCGTCTCGTGGGAGGACGTGTGAGGTTCAGTTCCGTGCAGTGCAGTGCAGTGCAGTGTTGTTCCCTGGTGGCTCGGGCGCGGGAGCGCTAGAGCAGCGCGAGAGTAGTGGGCCGTGGCTAGTCGCTCGATGCCAACCGGCAGTTCTTGCAAAGCACTGCGCTGCGTGGAAATAAGAGGACGACCGGAAGGGAGGAAGGGTCGATGTACCGCCCACGCTGCAACGTGTACTGCCTGCTGGCTGCTGCTGATGGCTGCTGCAGCGGGCTACGCGTCGCTTTTCTGCCGCGGCGCGTTGCAACAGGGAGTCTGGAGTCCGCTGGGAAACAACAAAATGCTCGAGGCAAGGCGTGCGTGCGCTGCAGTGGCTGTTCGTGTGTTTCCGCGACGTTCACACAAGCAAAGCACCGCTGCACCACGGAGCCGTCTGGAGATTGAGGCTGAAGCGATCGTGCACTAGTGGGAAGGTGCGAGAGTGAAGAGAAGAGCTTGACCAAAGCGAGCTAGACGCGAGCTGATAAGCTCAGGAAAGCACAGACCGAAGTGACTGCATGAGGTGATGGAGTCTGCGTCTGTCGCAACTCGCAACTTCATCATCACGCACAATCATAATTCCCCCCGAGGCATCTTCTCACATCCTGCACACCTATCGAGCTTCCTGCACATTGCTGGCAATCCTGCACTGCCATCATCTCGGCTCCGCGGGCGCAGCGCATGGCTGGTAATCTGCGAACAACAGCCGCGCACCGTGGCCCTCTTCCCGCTGCCTGAGATGGAACACATGACAGGCGGTCAGCTCACCATGCAACATCGCAAGCCAGGGGTGCACGCTGCAAAAATCCACCCTCGACACACCGCGAATTCGGCGTGGAGTGGTACATCCAATCGCAATATCGCAACGCCCACTGCTGCTGCTCCCAATCCACAAAGCGGGCATCACTCCCGCCCGGACAGCGAGGCAGATCAGCCGAAATGTGATATGTGGATGGCTCTACGTCATTCCTGCTGTGAAGAAACGCGTGTCATTGGCTCTTGTTGCATCCACATCTAACATTTGCGCATCGTGTGAGAGTATCGGCCTGCGATACCTGGTCCGGCGCATGACCCGAGAAAGACCTGCTGCATTTTGCTGCCCATGTCATCATCAGTGAATGATCGAGATTATTCCGGTCTCAATAATGTGCACACCGTGAGACACGAGGCTGGATCAGCGGTCGCCATTGCTGGCCAAATAATGTCCTTTCTGCGTGAAGGACCTGGCCTTTCAGCCCTCTGTTTGTGATATTCTACTGATTCCAGGATTCTTGTTTGCGCAAGAACAGCATCCCTCCACGTGGCGGAGACCGGCAATCGCCGCTTGCTAGGGTGCTTTCGCTCGGTAACAATCGGTATACCGACGACGGTGACAGGTGGCTATGACACATTTCTGGACTTGGATGTGGCGCTGAGTAGTTCTACAAGCGCGGCCGCTCTCGCCATACCTCTGAACCGAACATGTTGCATCTAAAATACCACCCTGCGTATGATTGTAACTCTGTTGTTGTCAGCGCATCCAAGAAACGCCACGCTGACGCGCTTGTACAGTCCCATTCTGGCATGGCGAAGTCTGGTTGTTTACTGGCTTCCGAGGCAGTAAACGCAAATCTCACAAACGTGGTACCAGTTTCAGAGTCGCGGGATGAGGACTGGGCGTCTGTTCCTGCTACATCCAGACCAAGATGCAGCACCGCCGTACGTAGCGTCGCATAGCGGCAGATCCGTGTCTTTCTTATGTCGACGTCCTGTCTATGGAGGGGTATCGGACTGGTAGCGAGTAAGTCTCTCTCTGTGCACGATGAGGAGCTCGTGGCATGTCTCAGACAATACGAGCGCACTGACACGAGCGCGCAAGCATCGTGCCATGCGACGTGCTGCGCGCCGAGCATTATTGAGCACATCACATCACACTTTCTCCTGCGTCTTCCCTGGCCGCGCTGCGTACTGTATGTTCATGGGTGTGATCGTATAGCATACGACATTGCGCATGTGGCGGGCACGAGCTCAAAATTCAAATGCATGCGCGGAGGACCACAGCCGCTGCATCTGTGCCTGAGATTGCTCTTCTCTTAGTAGGACTACACTTTACCGAGCCCATCCTCACGGCTTCAGACAAGGCCCTTGATTGGATGAGGCACCTGTGCAGCACACGCTCTCGCCGGCTCTCGCTGCTGGCAGTATTGTTTCTCGTGGCTGCTCATGGACAAGCTCGCCGACGTCGAATCATAAAAGCTAGAACTAATTTGTGCACTCCGTGGAGGTGCATCAGTGGAGTCGGCGCACAGCTGTTCTCTGCCGGCTGGAGGACCAGTCACAAGCTGTGTGGCCTATGCAGCCTTTCATTGACAATCCTCCTCTTGCAGATGGGCAACGGTCGAGCCGCATCTACATCTTCAACCTCAGACACAACACGCAAGTGGCCTAGGGCGCGGAACTCTTCCTTAGGGCACGGGAGGAAGGAAGAAGAAGCTTCGGCTGCAGCGCCGAGACTCGCTGGCTTTGACTGCTGAGTAATAATAAATCTTGACCAGGAGGTGGAGGTGGTCTTGCCTCCACGGTTAGGCCGGCTTCTCTATTTGACCGCATGATTGGGCGATTCTTGGAAGGAGCCACGGCAGGCAAGCAGCAGGCGGTAACATCAGGCTGGAAAAGGCAATGCCGACACCTCACTCACAAACGTGTCAGACTGCGACCTTCTGCCGAGTCCCGGCCGCCTTTCGACCTGCTTCATACGAAACAATTATCAGCCATGACAGACTAGCAAGTACTCCGTGATGCTGCGGCCCGGTACTGTATCGTCTGTCGGCACGGCACATTCAAGCATCCAGCTCTTTGGGATTGCTCGTTGCCGTTCGAATGTGGTTGTGCTAAGACCACAGAACCCATGCTAGTCAGTGCCAGTCTGCCTTTCACTACTGCTGTACAGTGTACTTCGCCAGCACCATGGGGAGGGGATGCAAGGAAGGCTTAACAAGCACAACCCAGCAGGGACGATACTGTAGCAATGTTCTAGATTGCGTATTTGACATCGATGTCGATCTCATCCTCCGGCTCGAGCTGCATTTGATCAGAACGTTCAACGTTGAAAAAGCTTCCCGATCGAGCATTCTTCAGATGACACGGCGTTCACGCCGATATCATCATCATTCACTTGTCACTCAAATCTTTGCATCCCTCGCAGGGTTTATGGGAATTTGGTACAAGAACGGACGTGGCCCGGAGTACCAGAAATTGAATGCCTCCTCCCTATACGAGCCGCGTCATGCCTTCAACTTCAATTCTACTCGGCACCTGATGAATTATGCTCAGCGGTGCTCTCGATGTCTGGTAACTTTACCACTCCGAGAGTACATGAGGCCATGACTGTTTCCTTACCAAGGGCAATGATGAGCCTGTTTCCAAGAGACAAAAGGAGTATGATCGTGCATTGCTTGGCGACGAGAGCTGGGCATAGTTTTCAGGAGGCATCGATACGTGATTCCTTTGCAGCCAAGGCTCTCGCATAGCACACTTTCACGGTCTGGAAGTTGAATGATCCAAATACACTCAATCTTCTGAACACAATCC